AGATTTTGTCCACAGCATAGATTAATCATGTCTAGTGCCAATTTTAGAGTGCATTTTGCAATGTCAGTGTGGTTTGGGATTTTCCAATATTTCTAAAAACTTGTTCTGATCTGTGATAAAGCTGTTAGTACTAGATGACAGTACAAAATCGAAATTCTGATACATTATTTTGATTTTTGCACGCGATGGTTTTACTTCAGTTCTGACTTGTCACGTTACGTTTAGCCGCATTCGAATGAACAGTAATCGATGGTAACACAACACTAATGACGGGCACATTTTGAACATGTGAACAAACGTGCAACGACATCCAAACAAATTCTTGTCATTAAGTTTATTTGTTACAGATTAAATATATTTGCACATATTCTTATATCATTAATCACAAGTATATAACTCATCAACTATAATATCGTATTCCTTGTATACCCTGTACCTCTCAAGGACCTGTAGTTAATATCGGGTAATTGGCTGAATAGTATAAAGCCAACGTGTTTAATAATCGATACGATAAACGATATTGTCTAAAGAACTAGAATAAATGCGTATTAAATGTGACAATGTATCCGAACAAGGAATACCTTTGCAATGCCGTGCAATCAGTGAGCCATATAAATATACACCTGTTAAATGTTTTCACTTCCATTAAAAGTTAAACTATGCATAATTTCAATAATTTTTTAGTCATTTAGACTCAAATCCCTTATTGATCCGTCTTTTCAATTAAACACATACAATTTAATAACAATACATCATTACAGTAATAGTTTTTTGTTTAAATCATTTGAATAATAGAAATAAACCCTATTATTAATGTTGAGAAGGAAAGGGGTTATGTGCAGCAGTGGAATAGTGAACAGTAAAGATGATCAGAGAATTACGAAAAATTTGTATTTATTATCAGTTGAGCTTTTTCTGGTAAATTCTTCAGTGAATCATGAAGTGTTTTAGCTCCATGAATAAATTAATCAAAATGTGGCTCGAATGTTAGCAGGCCCTGTATTTATATAAACAATAACAACAGTATTACACATTATTAATGCAATTTCATCTACCACTTTTGGTTATTCGGCCATTATTTATCCACCTCATTACTGCGAGTCACTAATAATGTTGAAATCACGTCTTCCCAAATACATGTCTCCTTGCTAAATCAGATCGTTATAGAGATAATGTGATGACTCGGGTAAACGAGACAACTACCTGTTGCGATGGCCGACTAGTTGCCGGAAATGGACAAACGTGTGTTCATCTTGGCGACGCGATGATGCCATACATCTAATCCGAGGCTACTCAATGATGCGACGCTTACGCATGCGCTGCTAGGTGAGTTGGTCAATAATTGCTTCGTGTAAAGCCGCCTTGGGACGGAGTAATTATTTGTAGGTGCACATGAATTATGAATACTCTAAATTTATTTATTTTAACCTAAATTCCTAATGTTGCTTTCCCACTTTGTATGATTTGCAGAAAACCTATTACTGGCAACTGTAAACTTAAGGGCATTGGGTTGTGTATATTTCATGAGGAATCTTATTCAACGGAGTCCCACATCGAATTTGGACGTCCTCCTCAATTAAACTTATCTGTCCACTACTACCACCACCACCACAATTGGTTGGATAGGTGTCGTATAGTCTATAAATACCTGTCCTCACGCAGATATAACCTAAAAAAGTAACTTATTCCATGAAAGGTACTAACGTTAGTACCTCCATGCTTATTCCAAACACGTATTATGAATAAGAAATACCACGAGAATAAATTGGTTTGTCGTACTAAACCGTATTATTAAACAATTCGGCTTAAAGCGTCCGGATAATCCATTGATTAACTATGTTATATTACCACGAATTTGGTGAGCTGCACTAGTTTCTAAGCC